CTGACGAATTTGGTCCACTATGTAGTCAGCATCTTGGCGTCAGTTTACCAACACCCTAGGTTGGTCGACCTCGTGGTTTACCACTACCCTTTGGGGATGGACCAACGCCGGCGTACCCTGAGGGATAATCTCCTCATTTGTTGCCCCCAAGTCAGGAGGCTGATATGCAGCCATAGGGGCCGCTACGTGTACTTGTCGAACGGGCTGTTGTGGTGCCCCTAGATAATTACCCAAACGAGTAAGTTGAGCAATCATCTGTCGATTGGTCTCAGCATATTCCTGGACTATGGGGCTATAAATATTCCCCATTTGAGTTGTCAGCAGATTCACTAACTCATGATTGTTATCGTCCATCTGCTGTCTGAGCACTGCCACTGAGGTATTTGTTAAAGGTGGCACCACGAGTTGTGGCACCCTGTTTCTAGCGTCCTTGCTCCCAGATGGGATCGACTCTTGCATTGGGGCGCTAGTGGTCTGAACGTTCTCTACTAGGGCTGTTCGGATGGGGGTCGATTGACTCACTGGCATCATGGAATACGACATTCCATACAACTGATTGATAGAGCCAAAGCGAGGAACTTCAGTTGGACTCAACGGTGGGGTTAAATCTGTGGAAGTAGTAGCAGTAGTGGCGGTTGCCACGTGTGGAACTTCGTCATTGATAGGATTAGTCATCCTGGATTCAGGATTAGTCATCTTAGATTCTCTAGGAGCACTTGGCTTAGGCTGTGACTTTAGTGACTTGCCACTTCTAAGTTTCATATGTTGGAAATTCACTCAACATGGTCCCACCGGGTGTGCCATTTTTTTTACTATGGAAATTGGTAAACAAACGCTGACCTTCCCAGAGCCTCAAGACTAAAGGTTACTCGGGAGATCAGTCAATTGATCTCAAGACGTCTGCCGAGTGAATGGGATGGCGCGTTCGGTCGACTAGGTCACAGGGACGTAATCTTGCGAATTCGCCAGAGTTTTCCACAAGTGCTTCAGTATCCTGCCAACTCTCGTGGTCAACTGGAGATGAACGCTGCTATGCACCTTAAGTCTGGCAACTCGTGGCCGGCGAAAGGTTATGGATGATTATAGTGCTGGTTTTGTGACAACGGTTTTGACACAAACAAGAGCTTACGTCTGGCAACTCGTGGCCGACGAAGGATTATAACCAACAAGATTGATGTAGAAGGGTGGTAATCGTTACGAACGAAAAACAAGTAAAGGTTTAAAAAGAAGTAAATTGCATTGAAAAGTAAATATGGTGATTCATGTTACATTTGCATTCCTTTGACTCTGTGACTCCTGACGCTCAGATATAAGAGTTTTTGCAAATTGTTGGTTGTAAAAATGAACACCTCTAGAACTACAAATGAAAGTACTATTTATAGCCTACGAAATAACTGTAAACCTAGTGTCTTATTTATGTACACGATCCCACGATCTGGGAGTAACCACTCATATCTTCTCGCCACCCACGACGTCGAACGTGTTCCACATAACCGCTCCCACATTCTGCTTGATTCTCCAGCCTTTCCCGCCTTAGCCTGCATTGCTCAAATTGCTTAAGATCCCTCGTTCGACTGACAGTCCTGGTCGACTTCGACCAACCAAACTTGTCTGCCTAGTCGACTTAGCAGCCGATCGACCCAGTCTATCTTGACTCTTTTAGTCGAATTGGCCGCTTGCCTTAAAATCTCCCCAGATTCCTTTAGAAGACCCTTTTGTAAGGCTGATGTCTCCTTATTTCCTACCCTTCGATTTTTCAGGGTAACACCCGTTTCTATGTATTTGTGGTTTTCTCGTTATTTCCCCTCTCTTCTCTTAGAGTAAATAAAAGACGGTGGCGACTCTTGCTTTATTTGGATCTTGGTCTTTTATACCTCGCTATCTGAAAATCGCGTCGCGACAGGTGGCAACTCTGCTGGGGATATGCTATGTGCTAACCCTAATAGCTTTGTTAAAACCAAACTTGTGTTTGTTTGTTGCATTAGTATTATTATTATATTATTGCATCATTATATTATTGCTTGCTTGTGTGGGTGATACTTTGTATGGTGAGACAAGCTATACCCAAGCTTGAGTGAACTATAAGATAAGGTGGCGATAGTCTTGGAAAGCCCACTTGATGATTGTCATTTGGGGTGACCTTGAGAAGCCCAACTTTGGTGAGACTTGCCTATTCCAATCATGAAGTACATGTATGTGTACATTAGTGAAGGGCTCTTGGGTTTTCAGTCGACGATCCAAAGAACTTAGATATACCAAACCCAACTTGACTTCTTAGGTACGTGGTCGTGGCATTTTATTGAGCGGCTTGCTCTCTAATTTATAACCACATCGTACCATACTCAGAGTAGACTCTCTTAGGGTTATTGTTGGACATCACGTATGTGATGCGTCGATAATAACTTTGATATGGGTTGGACTTTGGGAACCTTTAGAACCGTCGCTTTCGGAATATCTAAACCATAGTGCACATCTTGGGGAGGGGGTTTCACCTTATCCACCGATACTCCATGCTTGTGATCTCGAACAAAAACAAAAACATTGCATTGCTTGTTCATGCATTCATGCATCATATCATTTCATGCATAGAAAAACCTTTTATTTGTGAAGATAAAAGAGAGGGTATGTGGGATGCATGAGATAGTCCCTCGGTTTGAATCCGGTTTATTCTTCGATTGACCCTTCAGTTTATAAAATGCCAGTATGACCCTCGATAACCCTTTGGATTCTATATCAGTATGTCCCTCGATTGACGCTTCGATTGTCCCTTCGGATTAAAATACTCAAAAATCCTCTGATTGTCCCTTCGGATAAATACTGGTATGTCCCTCGTGACGCTCGATTGTTGCCTTCGGAAAAAGAATAAACCGGATAGTCCCTTCAGATCATGTTGCCTAAAAAGTCTCATGCAAATATTGATTTTTCTTCACAAATAAAACAGTCTCTTTTGATGATTAAAAGTAAAATATTCTTGTTTAAACTAAATCATTTGTTTCTTACTTTAAAAGATTGGTGTTATTTCAGGATTTTTTTCGGTTATTCTTGACTTTTCTTGGTGATAGAATGGAATCCGACAAGAGGCACACTATCAATTTCAAGGTGAATCCACCTAGGTTTCTTGAAGAGCTCAGACAATTATTAAAGCTTGTTGTGGAACATGGGAAGTTTGTGAAACAATATGGAGACTTATTGAGACTTGTGAAGACATATGTGGATACCCGGCTCATGTACCCTCGGTTTCAGTTCTATGATCCTCTACTTCGTTGCTTCACTTTTCAGGACTTTTAGTTAATGCCTACATTGGAAGAGTATTCCCGATTGCTTCAGATTCCTGTTGCAAACACAGTTATCTATTCAGGATTGGAGAGTTTCCCGGAGGCCCATGAAGTAGCTACTCTTATTCATCTTCCTTTGGAGGATATCCAGGCTGTTTACCATCTTAAGCCTGAGGGTCATGGGTTGCCCATCCGCTTTCTGCTTGACAAAGCGCATTACTTTGCTAGCATGAGGAGTTAGTCGGCTTTTGAGTATATCCTTGCTTTATTGATTTATGGACTCATTTTGCTACCTGATACTATGGATTATATTGATGTGATAATTATCTGGGTTTTCATGATTGGGAATCCAGTCCCCACCATACTTGCAGATACTTTCTATGCCTTACACCATCGTACTGCAAAGAGAGGAGGGAAAGTTTTATGCTGTCATGCTCTGTTGATGGGTTGGTTTATGTCTCACTTACCTCAAGAGAGTCCTTTCATGGATAATAAGGACAAGCTGAATTGGGCACGGAGGATTATGTCCCTCACTCATTCTGATATTATATGGTGTCCTCGAGGATACACCAAGACTCCTATTATTTCTCATTGTGGCGAATATGCCAATGTTCCTTTGTTGGGAGTGAAGGGAGATATTAGCTACTATCCTGTTCTGGCCATGAGGCAATTTGGATTCGAGGTGGCCGGAGAGCCAAGGAGTATTTTCCTAGAAGGAGTAGTCACCCAGGAAAAAGGGGACAATTCCATGATCAGGAAAAGGATGCACCGGGCTTGGACCAAGATTGTGAGACAAGGACATGTGCAGCGGGGCAAGCCCAACGGTGTTGTGGGGCAAGCTTACTTGGAATGGGTGAAGAGTAGGGCACGCCAACAAAAATTTCCCTATGACTATGAGCCTCCTATGGTTCATTCAGGCCCTAAGCCCTTGGTGGTTCTATTTGAGGAGTTTGAGGCTTTGAAGAAGAAGTATGCAGAATTGGAACAAGACAGGGATAGGTGGGAAAATCAGAGTAATAAAAACCATTCTAGACTTTCAGAGGCTTACAGGAAAATCCAAGAGCATGTTGATACTATCGCTCAAAGGGATGCGGCCATGGAATTGATGCAAGTTCAGAAGACTAGGAGTGATCTAGCTTTGAAGGCAATGGCCAGCGCCAATGACAGGCACCTTGAGACTATCCACCAGTATGAGAGGGCTGAAACACAAAGAAAGAAGAGTTGTATCTCTTGATCTCACAATTACTCTTCTGGATGCTTCTATTTATTATTTTAGGTGGCCATGCTTGGCCTTTCTTTGTATTCTCTTGGGCTTCTGTATTATGGATTTCATTTGTATTATTGCATTGTACTACTGGATTATATTTGTACTCAGGGTTGTATTCATTGTGACATATTGACTATGCACTTGTATTCCGGTTATTCTGATATGAGATTCAGCTTTGATTAAATTCTTGATTGGTGTATGCAAAGAATCACAAGACATGACTGACAATATATCCTGAAATAAACATGTTTAAAGCACGAAATAAATGAAAAATAAACAAGAAAGTAAATAAATAAAACAAATAAAAAAAATCATATGCACCCATGCATCATGCTTGCATTGCATTATAACATTATTATTTATGTTCTACCTGGTGTTCTTTAGTTTTTGATGGTATTCTTTCCTCTTCAACATCAACTATTCACCATTATGCCACTCGACAGAATATTTCCAGAAAGATGGAACAACTTGAACTCGAGAATCAGACACTGCGAACTGAGGTAGCAACTCTCAAGGAATCTATTGAGAGAAACAATGCTACGATGGAGGCACTCTTGGCTCGCCTCGAGCGTGAAGATACTCCCCGTCGGGTTTCTGTGCATGAGGACGCAATCGTCTCTTCTGGACCGGTATCTCAGCTGGCTACTTCTGCATTTGTCTTCGGGGATGGTACTGATGTGGATCCCATGGTGGTAACTGAAGGTTGGGTTCCGCGATATCATACAAACAGGGCTGCCAATGCTGGGGTAGGTCGTGGTAACAAGAACCATGTCAATTTTGAGCTTGGAGGGAGCTCTGTCTATGGTGGAATGATTAACTCTGGTGGGTTTCCTGCAGTTGGCAAGGGTGTTTTCAATGCTGAAATGGGAAATGTCTTTGGTGGCAATCAGAATGATAATAACAGAACTATGGTGGGTAGTATGCTCGGTCCGTTTGCTGGTTTCAGTAATAATGTTGGTAATAATCAGAGTCTGTTGGGAGGACCTAGTAATGGTCAGAATTTATTTGGTGGCCAAGTGAATGGTCAAAATATGTTTTTAGGACCCGAGAGTGGTCGGAACTGGACTGGTGGTGCTATTAACAATCAGAATCTATTTGGTGGGCCTAGCAATGGCCAAAATCTTTTTGCGGGTGGGCCATCTGTCTATGGCAACCCAACTGGTGAGAGGGCATATGGTGGCCAGGTGGCCATGCCTATGGGAACCTCTGTTATTCCTGTATTTGCAAGTGATCCAATTGTTACCGTACGGGCGCAAGAGGAAGAATCGGAATTTTTGTTTCATGAGAGCAATGAACAAATGAAGGCCGAGATACAAGCGGAAATGAAGAAACATTGTGACGAGCTGGCCAAGCAAGTGACAATGATAGAGGGTGCTGAATTGGTAGGCAAGAACGCCTATGAAATGTGTTTGGTCCTTGACGTCAAAGTACCTGTCAAGTTCAAGGCACCTGATTTCGAGAAGTACAAGGGAAACACATGCCCCCAAGCTCATCTAATAATGTACTGCCGGAAGATGGGGGCCCATACCAAAGATGACCAGCTATTGATTCATTATTTTCAAGACTCCTTGACTGGGGCACCCCTTAGATGGTATATGGGGCTTGACAGTGCAAAAATCAAGAGTTTTCGTGATTTGGATAACGCTTTTACTAATCAATATAAGAACAATCTGGATATGGCTCTGGATCGTGAGCAGCTCCGTTCTATGACGCAGAAAGATAAGGAAAGTTTCAAGGAATATGCACAAAGGTGGAGAGAGGTTGCTGCTCAGATAAATCCTTATGTAGAAGAGAAAGAGTTGTGCAAATTGTTTATGAGGATGTTGTCTCCCTTCTACTTTGATAAGTTCATCATTAGCATGCCTCGCGACTTCACCGAAATGGTAGGGGTTGGAGTGCAAATGGAAGAGGCCGTCAGAGAGGGAAGGTTAGCAAGAGAAGCCAGCTCATCTAGAGCTGCTAAGAAGTTCAATAACTGGCAAGGGAAAAAGAAGGAAGGAGAAGCTAGCAACGCTTCTCACTTCAAGAGAAACCCTAACTCGAAAGGAAACAGGGCGCAAACCTAAAGGGTCGCTCATGCAGATACCAACCAGTCATTACAGCAGGCTGCTCAGGCAGAATTTTATCAGCAAATGATTGCTACTATGGCAGGGGGGATGCCATTTAATCTAAACTTTAATCAGCAACAATAAAGACCACAGTTCAACAATCAAGGATATCAGAATCAGGGTCCGAGAAGAGAACCAATTGATCTGATTCCTGTTACGTACGCTTCTCTATTTCCGAGATTGTTAGCAAAGGGGTTGATTGAGAAAAGGCCAGCTCCCGCTCCACCAGCAGTACCTAGCAAATTCTATAACCCAGAAGCACACTGTGAGTTGCACTCTGGAGGGGCTAGACACGACATTGAAAATTTCTTTGTGATGAAGAATAGGGTTCAAACCCTAGTAAGATTAAAACAGTTAAATTTCCAAGACTGCCCTAATGTGAAGGAAAATACGTTGCCTTCGCACGGAAAAGCTTCAGGCAGTGCAAATATGATTGAGAAGGTTGAAGACGAAGTGATTACAGAAGCTCAGCTGATTAACACCCCGCTAAAAGAATTGCATGAGAAGTTGGTCAAGGAAAATATCATAACCAGTTCACATGTTTTGAGATGTGAAGATTGCGAAGGAACGCCGAAAGGCTGTGTAGTGGTTTTAAACAATCTTCAAGTTCTAATTGATGAAGGCATCCTCAAAGTTTCTAAGAAAAGGCCTGTTGAGGTGGAAGTGTCTGTGATTTTGCCAGTATTCAATGATGAGCCATTCGTTGTCAGATACAATGGCAGTAAAGGAAAAGTGGTAGGGAAGATTGAGGGACCAATGGTGGTACAAGCTTCGGCTCCATTTCCATACAAATCAGACAAGGTTGTACCTTAGAGGTACGAGCCAGTTATTGTTGAGGATGGGGTGGTCACTCCATTAAACATTGCGAAGCCAGTGATTAATATCGCGGACCAGAGTGGGTTTACGCGAAGCGGGAGGGTATTTGCCCCGGATAACTTGAGAAAAGGTCGTGTGATAAATGAGAAAGAGGATAAAGGTAAGAAGGTAGCTGCGCCCGTTGCATCACCAGTGCCAGTTACGCTTGAAGCCCAAAACGAATCTGATGCTGAGGAATTCCTTAAGATCATTCGCAAGAGTGATTATAGGGTAGTTGACCAGTTAATGCAAACGCCTTCAAAAATTTTCATCCTATCGTTGCTGTTGAATTCAGAATGCCATCGTCAGGCTCTTTTGAAGGTACTCGAGAAGTCGTACGTGGAGCACGATGTTTCTGTGGTGCAGTTTGACCATATTGTGGGAAACATCACTGCAAACAATACAATCAGTTTCTGTGATGATGAACTATCTGATGAAGGGGGAGAGCATAATATGGCGCTCTATATCTCAGTTCGTTGTGAGAGGGATTCCTTATCCAATGTACTTGTTGATACCGGTTCATCCTTGAACGTAATTCCGAAGCAAACCCTTGCCAAGTTATCATTTTCAGGTGCCAGTTTGCGATCCAGTGACATAATTGTCAAAGATTTTGATGGGTCAAGGAGGTCAGTGATGGGAGAGATTGTGCTGCCAATTCAAGTTGGGGCTGAGATCTTCAATATCTTGTTCCAGATCATGGACATCAATCCAGGTTACAGTTGTCTATTAGGGAGGCCGTGGATCCATGAAGCTCGCGCTGTCACGTCAACACTCCGCAAAAGGTTAAAGTTTATCAAGAATAGAAAGCTACTGTTGTACCCCAAAATTTGCCCTCCCATATTCTTCAATAAATTGCCAAGTCATGCTTCAAAATTCCCCAAAGGGTTGCTGTGATACGGTGGGAGAACTGACTAGTGTTTTGCATTCGTATTCGCACTTGTGCGGTTAGCAAGAGTCGCCACCGACTTTTTATTTTATCCTAAGGAAAGGTTAAAAAGCACAGCAAAAAACCTTTTGAGATGTTTTCTTGGGTTCGGGGAGTAGATTATAGAAAGGGAAGGTATTAGCACCCTTTCTATCCATGGTTATCCATGGGCTCTTAGTTACTTGCTTAGATCACTTGCCTTTTGTTTTCAATTGTTTTAAATGGTGCTTGAGTGTGTGGGTTTTGAAAATGTTTTGAAAAGAGGCCAATGTGGTGGCAACCTTTGCAATGATCCATGTGGGGATGTATACAAAGATGTATGTCTTTTGAAAAGGTTTTCATTTGTTTTTGAAAGTTGTTTTGAAAGTGTAGTGAAGTGTGGTTTGAAAAAATAGGCAAGTGTTTTGTTTTGCAAGTTTGATTCAAGTAACTAAGAGGTTATCTACTCCTAAATTTCTCAAAAGATTATTGCTATACTTTAACCCTTTTAACAAGTTTGCACCACCATTGTATTTGGTGGGCAACCTTGTGTTAGGATGTGAAAAGGGACAGGCGCGGGTCATCGTTTAGACCATAATTGTAACAACGTTAAATGTCTTTGGGCAATTTCTCTAAGGGACTTGATCATTTGTTTTGTTTGTTTTGAAAGGTTTTATCGAGGGACTATGATCATTCAAACTGTTTGCTTTGCCCAAAGATGTTCAACATACAATATGGCCCATTTATTTGAAGGCAACAAGTGGAATACCCTAGGGGGTGCAAGTGTGATTTGTGTGTCCATTTTCATGCTTGTTTGTCTTGTATTAGGTCAAACTATTTTTTATCGTTTTTTCGCATACAAACCCTAATTCTAGCATGTTATTATTTAGAAAGCAATAAAGTGCGAAATTAAAATTACTAAGCTATTACACAACCAAATATGGGAAGGGGGGTACAAATGTTCAAATGGGGATATAGACAAGAATTTAAATCTAGATTATTACAACAATTGGATATTTGCATAGTAAATAAATTGCATAATTTAAATGTAAATAAAATGAATATGTAAAATGTAAAAAAGAAAGTTTTTTATGTGTATGAGAAAATATTTATGTAAAAGGAAAAAGAAATAAAAATGTATTTATTTTTAGTATTTTGAAACTTAGGGTAAAAAACCCTAATTTTTATATAAAAAGTATTATTATCTAATTTAATTCTACTATTTATTTATTATGTACAAAAATAAAATAAATGAAGTATTTTGTGAAAAAAAGTATTTTTGTATCAAATATTGATAAAAATGAAGAAAATCAAGTATTTTATATTTTTATCTTAAGTATATTAATAAACATGTACATATATATATATATATTAAACCCTAAATGAGTATTATACAAAATAAATATTTATTTAATATTTTAATAAAATAAATAAAAGTATTTTTTTTTGTGTGAAATATTTTCAGAAAGTAAAAATAAAAATAAAAATGTATCCACATTATTTTCTATTTATTTTAATAATAGTGTATATATATATTTGTATATAAATAAAAGAAATAAACAAACAAATATGCCATAAATACAAAAAATGATGGAAAAAATATTTTAAAAATTTTAATGGCATGAGAAAAAATAAACAAAGTCAACCCAAAAAGAAAAAGTCAAAAAATGTTGAAAAATAAACAAATGGGCTCAGGGGGTGTAAACCAAAAAAATGGGGTGTGAAAAGGAAACAAATCCAGGCCCAGCCCAGATCACTTCTTCTTCAACCTCTGTACATCTTTCTTCTCACAGAACACGCGTTTTCTAACTCTGGATTCCTGGACTTTCAAGCAAAACTCATAACATGAAAAGTGTAGAGCATTAAGAGACGGTTTCAACCATATAAAGAACATGACCTATCTCTCCAAGATGAGAGAGAATTTCTCTCCCCCTCTTTTCTGACCTAGTTTTTCTACCATTTTCAGAGCTCAAATTCTCTTCACTCAGACAAAAGAAATGAAAAGTAAAGCTATGTACATGTTCAGGGCTATGAGTAGGACTTTGTTTCTTCACAAACTTAAGACTAAATATGCCTAATAAGAGAGATACGAATTCAAACTTTTACCTGTGCAGTTGAACTTCTATGTGGAGAATGAGAGACTTTCAGTGCAATGTAATGATTGGAAAAGCTTCCTTGAAGTCCAGGGATGCTTTTTCAATGCTCACTTTGTCTTGAAGCTTCTTGTACCAAGCTATAGAACTTCACCTGCAAGCTAAAGATGTGAAAATGGTGGAAGTGGTTAGAGCAACTACAGATCGTGCCTTAGCTTCTGGATAGCTTGCATATGTTGTAAGGAAGGTAGAGGAACAGGTTTGGACAGAAATGCTTGAAGGGATTGAGAGATTGCACTCAAACTGCAGGGGCACCCCTGTTTGTGCAGTTTGAGGATGATTCTGAGATGGAGAGGGTTTGAAAGGCAAATGGCTCGAGCAAAAGCTTCAATGTGGTCTATGGAATGTGTTTGATATCTTTTGTGTTGTGTCTCTTTGCTGATATGAGAGATAGCATAAGTTATGGATGTTACTTCTATGTGAAGCAAGCAAATGTCAACTTGGTTTCTAGGCCAGTACAATGCCTCAATCTATGCTGCACCTTTGAGTCTTGATCAGTGGGATATGCCTATGCTTTTTTGCTTCAAAGATCTGCATTGTACCTCATAGATTTGCAAAGTTGCCATAAAGTATCACTTTACAAGAATGGATAACATGCTTTTTCTAGTTTAGGCTTGATTTTGTGTGTATTATCCAAATGAGCAAAATAATGTTAGAACACAAAGGATAAGCATTGAATTATTGAGTGAGAATGGGATTAGAGGCCTGCAATGTAGCTTAAGCATGCTGAATTCAAATTTGCCAAGTTTATGAACATGCTTTGATGGAGAACAAAAGTGAATTTTTGCCAACTTGTGAAATTCGAATCTCTCAAGTTATGAGGTTGTTTGATGAGTTCTTGGACATTTTGGAAAGCTTGTAATGTGTACTACAATCCATCTTTGAAATGCAATTTGAAATTCCAAGTGGAAGGGTATGAAAAGTGGCCTTGAAGTAGGGTAGAAAACCTTGTCAAAATAGGTCAAATTTCACTAAGTTAAAAGATGGTTTAGTGCCCTTATTCAAAAAATCATAACTTGAGATACAAGCTTCAAATGAGAAAACTTTGTGAATCAAAGTTGTAGATTTTGCAACAAGCTACAACTTTCATGTTTTGACTTTTGTTTGAATCCAAATGGATCATGGTGAAAAGATGGGGCAAAGTTGGGAAAAAATTAGGGTTTTCCATAACTTAGAAAAATTCTAAGTTATGAAAAATTCCATTTTCAAACCCTAATTTGCATTTTTGTGATTTCTTGGTGAACAAGTTTCATGATTTGGCATGTTTTGATGAAAAATGAATCTTGACTCTTGATTTTGACCAAAAAGTCAAAGTTTGACTTTTCAGTATACAGTCAAAATGGATCAATTGACTGGGAAATTCAACTGTCAATCTTGTGTACTTGGGATCTTTTGAGCTTGATGAACATGTCAAGATAATTCCATTGAGTCCTTGAGGCCATATGTGAGCTTGGTTTGTCATTGGCTAGGTCAAACAGTCAAAAATTGCCCTTGTGCAGTCAAAACCCTAAAAATGACCATTTTGCCCTTTTGATGATCTGATCAAATTTCTTATGGAATTGTGATCCAAACTTGATCAAATGGTTCATATGAGTTCATAATGTTGATGTGGATCAAATTTCATGAGGTTTGACTGTCAATTGGCCACAGTTGACTTTTCCCCCAATACAGCTGATTTCTAGGTCAACTGTCCAATTGACTGGGTAAAACTTGGAATCAAGACTTGAAACTTGGTGTAGGTAAACTTGGGAGTCCAACATGAAGCATGAAAGTCATCTTAGGCATTTTAGGTCAAAACATCTTTAGGCAAACACAAACCCTAATTTGAGTCCACAGTGCAAGGAGAAGTCTTGAGCAGAGGAAACCCTAATTGGATCTTGATCTTCAAAGGTCTTGTGATG